GATCCACGAACTGCCAGCTCACCTTGTTATGAGAGACTGCAGCCGGGGCTTGTTAGATGCTCAGAGGATTGACGCAGGCTGCAGCTCTCAGAGCACGCAGCTGCTTGATGTTCCCGATCTCTGTCCCAAAAGGACGAACTGGAAAAGAGGAAAAGAAGACAAACCCCAAAAGGACCCTCAAACCAACCCGAGCATCCGAGCAGGACGGCATTGAGTGCCGTTCACAGCAGACTCGGAAGGACCTGAGCCGAGGCGTGATCCCACTCAGCAGGATACTGCTGAGCAATGCTGACCCAGTTGAGGTTGTACGATGACCGTTCTGTTAGGTGTAAGTGAGGCTTCAGATTGCGACTGCAAATGCCTGAACGAAGAGTGGCTTTTCGCCACAGGGCACTTTTTGGCAACAGACGGAGATGTAGTCGGCGAAGCTTGGGTCCTGACAAAGCCAACGGATAGGCGGAGCGGCAAAATGCTTAGTGCTTTCCGGATTTTCCGAACAGCATGGCACCCGAGCGTGAATGCAGGCATCAATGACCTGAGCGGAAATGGACATAGCAGCATTCCCACATCGAACTGCGTGAGCGTGTTTCCCGTACAGGCCAGGTACCCCAAACAGTATTTGCCAGTGCGAACGATCGGACTGTTCTGCGCAAAAGACCAAGTTGTGCAAGGAGTGCCGAGCCACGTGCCTAGCACAATCCATCCATGCCGGAGGTGCGAAGCCAGAAGACTCACCGAAACCACCAAAGTTGAAGGCGTTGGGCTTGGCTTTGGGGGCTGAAAGTCCTCGTGGTCCTTCCAAAGTCACAGCTGACACGGGCAAAGCACGCCACTGGAAGACGAAGCCTCCTCCTTAGGGTTCAGTGTCAAAGTTTCGGCCCTCGCCGAAGGAGTGGCCTCCGTAGGCCAAGGTTCCGAAGAACAGTCCGAAGACAAACCCCAAGGATCCCAGGCATCACACGAATCCCGGCAGGACCAAAGTGAATCATCCCACCAATCATCAGGTCCAACCTCCTGTGTCATCAGACGGATGAAGTTGATCTTCCCCCTCAACAGCTGAAACCCTATAAGTAGGACAATTGCTCACCAAGCCAGCAAACCGAAGTTGAGGAAGTGCCTTTTCCTTTGTTTCCTTTTCCTTTTCCTTTTCCAAAGTTCCAATGCTGATTTCCTTGTCCTGCTGACTTCGAGCAGTCCTTCACTTTTTCTTTGTTTCCTTTGATTCGTTTTGCTTTTCGTTTCCACAAAAACCGCCACTAAAGCTCCAATGTTCATTGGAGCCTGTGATTCTGCTTGAAAAGCTGCATTCGCCGAAGTTTGTGCAACTGGATTCATGAAAAATTGCAAACGGTGGTATTCGAGAATCACCTTGCGAACCTGACCATAAGTTTGCAAAGTTCGGGCATTCAATCTCAGATGCTGTTGTTGCAAAGCTCCTGTTGTCTTCTTCAACAGAGTTGCCACAGGAACACCATCGGGCAAAGGTTGGCCCGGTTGTCTTTCATATCGAGATTTTATTGTTTCCCAAACGTTAAAAGGTTGAATTTGAAGTCCAAGAGCTGTGTCAAAAGTAATGTGCTCCTCGTGGCTCCTGGCAGCGAGAACTTCTTTCAAAGTCTCCTCCAAGTCTCAAAGCCGCTCGAGTCCTCACTCTGTCGAACACTACGTTTCGCCGAATCTCGAACAAGTTGCGACGAAAGATAATGTAGTTTTCGAGAGAAACGTACCCTGCTCGCACTCTGTTCAACATCTGGGTCTCCCGTGTCAAGGGCGACCGCTAAAGTATCATCGGTAAACTCATCGTTCATCAACTCAGCCCGGTCTAGCAAAGTTATCGCACCGGTTTCGAGCATTGAGATGTGGGCCTTAAAGTTCCAGGACCATTGTTCCCAGTCGGCAGGATTGCCGCTGAAAGTCTCAGGCAAGGGAAGCTGAGGCTTTCCTGTAAAGTTTCCTTCGCCTCCTAAGGTCCTAAGGCCATGTCTTCTCACCAACGTTCCTTGGAGCTTTCAGCTGCGTGCACTGCTCACTCAGCTTCAGATCAAAGTAACCCTGAAAGTCACAGAGCGCGTCTTCCAGGGACTGCACAAAGTGCATAGTGATCTTGAGCCACGTAGCTGGCAAAGTCGGGGCATGGCGATAACGTCTTATTGCATAAACATGCCCACGCATACATACATACATACATACATCCATCCATCCATCCATCCATCCATCCATCCATCCATCCATCCATCCATCCATCCATGCATCCATCCATGCATGCATACATACATACATGCATGCATGCATGCATACATGCATACATGCATACATGCATACATAAATTCATTACATGCTAAAAATCGCACAAAAATAAATACAAGCTGACATACAGCACTCATGTGTTCACCGACGTGCGGGTGTACATGCTTTATATCGTGCAGCCATAATCAGCCACACACACACACACACACATTTTGCTCTGCATGCATGCATCCTTTGTAAAAACAAAACCTGAACCTCGGAGCTTCGTCCCAGGACATTCGGACCTCCGAAGTCTAAATTGCATGTACACGTCAGGCATGCGTTGTTATCAATGAACTCAGTCGCCGTACCATTCGCCGAGTTCGAGCGAACGTGCAGTCTGAAATGCTCGATGCTACAGTACTTCTCTCCCCATCTGCCCTATCTGTGTGCGGCCCAATTGCCACTGATGCTGCTCGGGGTGACAAAGCAGAAGCTCACAAACACACCAAGAACTCCAAACGTGCGCCACGCCATGGCATGAATAACTCCATGGCCAGGGCACGCCTAAGCATGACGGCCTGATGTGGTACCTTGCGACTGTGGATCTGCAGAGCCACAAGCACTCGGCGGACTGGTTGGATTTCTGCAGTGCTGCAGGAACATGTCGGGCAAATTCAAAAGCGTGTCATGCTGACCGACGCGGCTTTTTCAGAGACTCGTGGGCCACGGCTTCAAGTCACAACGATCACAGGACGCTGAAGCATCTCACCGGCGCATGGAGCACCAAGAGGTGCCGTTTCCCAAGGGCCTCCGCCGCACATGTCTGAGCTTGTAACATCAGGCCGGCGAGCATCAATACAGCGGCGGTGTAGCGATTGCGGAGGCCCTAAACCCGACAGATCCAAATAAACGCCAAAGCAAATCGGGAATAGTTCAGGCCTCTCATGCATCCCACGGCACGTCAAGTTGGAAACGAACATGTGAGAAGACATGCATCCAGAATAGTTGCAACCATCTACTTCCGGCAACGCTTGCCATCAAGTTGGGGAAGACTTGAGGAAGATCTGTGTTGTTGACATGCCTGAACAAGGACGTCGTGTCTGCACACCCCGCAACTTAGCCCGGCATGATGCATTTCGGTGGACTTGAGGCTTAGAATGTCCGCATGTCTCCGGGGTTTAGGAGTTGAAATGGGGCTTGTGTGAGGACAACATCCTGCGTTAGAATTCAATTACTCACTGTTTGCTTGGATTCCGCCCCTACCCCAGCCTCCAAACCAATCACGAGCCTATCTCAAGCCTTCACAGGTTGCTAGAGTTTAAAAGTGTTTAAAGCTTAGAGTTACGAGAGTTCTTGGCCTATGTTTCCCAAGCTTGACCATGTACTTACAAATTTATCGGTAAAGTTGCCATTCTCTATCGTTGCTTTGTCATTTGGGCTTATGGTTTTTGACATCACTACTTTGCCACCAATGCTCTCCATGCCCCCCTTGAACAAAAAAACGAAGGTTGAAGCCTCAACCCTGAAGAGCAGGGTTGTTCATTACTGTTGCAAGGGGCGGCCTTGGCGCCAGAACTTCTACGGGTGGAAAGAAGCTGCTTGCGTGTTGCTTTCGCGACACAAGGCGAAGAGACAGGGAAGGGTCAAATACGCCTCCAAGTTGTCCTTGCACCCCAAACTCCGGCCATTCCCAGAAAGGTCAGGAAAATGAGGTCCCGAATCCTCAAACAAAGATAACGCAACGATACCTACGGATCATCAAAAACCGCACTCGAATCCGGAATTATGTTCAAATCCCCAAACAATGAACGTTCTATACGTGCGAGAAGCATAGTGATTTCTTGGGGATTTGTGCGGGCATCACTTGAGGCCTGTTTGCTCACAGGTTTGTATTAATTGGTTGCTGGGTATTTGGAGGTATATAAGGTTCAGACCCTGCCGGGGTTTTTGTTTAATGCAACACGTGGCCGTATTGATTATGAAACAAGAGTTCATGCATGCCTGTGTGAAAACATGTGTGTCAGCGAGACATGGAAAGAAACGGAACTCGACAAACACAACTGGACATTGATTCCTATGTCCTAAGTTCACCGCAACGTATTCTTAGCTTCGCTGCATTCGCCGCAAGCTCTGCTCACGCAGCCGATGTAGCCGATAAGTGCATATGCTTGCGGCCCGTAAGATACACCTTGCGTGGCCCCCAAGTACTCGTGCATTTCCGGACCAGTCACTCGTACATCCCCCGTAGCTTGCGAGATCCGCAGTCAGCCGTGATGCGCCCCTTCCTCTGTTCATCTGTGTGTCCATCCATCCATCCATCCATCCATCCATGCATCCGTCCGTCCGTCACCGTCCGTCCTTCCCCCGAATCATTTCCCTCAGCTACTGCTGCGACGCAACGTTTTCGAGAAGCAAAAGTGATCAACGTCGCAGTGCATAATTTACAGTATGATGCGTGCCTCACACGAACCCTCCACAAATAACAAGATGTCAGCGAAAAGTCGGCAGCTCTCCAAAAGGGGGAGACGTACTCCGTGAGCGTCCTGTGTAAATAACAAACAGTAAATAGGACGCGAGGCCCGGGAAAACACGATGCAAGGCGCTCGAGGACGCTGGAGCCAAGCCATGGTGGGTTTCGGCGGGCGCCCAGAGTTCTTCAACTTACGAATGGGAGATACGTAGAAAGGAGATATGTGGTGTCTTGCACTGGACAGTGACAGTTGCAACCTACACCTCGCAAGCTCTGAAAAGTAGACGAATGCCTCGGCGCCTCAGAGATCGTCCATGTCGTTGCGGCTGGGATCGTACTGTGGAACCAGCCCGGGAACCTGCAATTGCCGGCAGACATTCGAGGCCTGTTTCGGAAGACTTGCGAGCTCCAGAAAGAGGAGGCCGCATGGACGAAGAGTTGCAGGCTGGCCGGCTTATGAGAGTTGAGTGCAACGTCGGCAGATCGGCCGTAATTAGCGTCGACTGCGCGCGCTGCATCATTTTGCTTCTCCCGCGGGTGGTTCGAGTCCAGCGGAGGGATTAACATCCGAAGCAAGGCTGCCGCAGTCACTACACGCCACAGAGCCGCCAAAGCGAGGATGTGCGAGAACCGCGAGAAGCCGGCAGCACCTTGAAAGATCGTCTTGGTCAACTGCTTTTGAGTGCTCGAGCCCTGCAGCCTTTCGTATGTCAGTCGATGCTTTCGTGGAAATTTAGGGAATGCAGGCCTTTGGCCGCATCGATTCCACACCACAACAGCAGCCACCATTCTAAGTTCCGTCCCAGCACCATTCCTCGTCACGAGCACCATGCTCAGCAGTGGTGGCGACCCAAACACGACTGCGCTTCGAACTCGTTCATGACATAGGACAAAGGCACACAAAGATTGTCTTATTTTGCCTTGGAGGTCTTGCTGCCATGATTCCCAGGGTACCGCCACTCCTCACAACTTGGGCTCTGTGCATGCAGAACGCTTGGCTCTTTCAACTTCTGCCGATGAGGCTCTGCATCAATGTGAAAGCTGTACCCTCGCAGCCCTTTGTCGCATGGAGCTGCTGCAGGATCGTCGTGGGCATGAAGGTCAAGGCCTTGCCAAACCTTATCTTCCGATCCTGCACGACCACACGCACTTGCAGCCAAAGGTTTCTGCCTGATGTAAAGATTTACCAAATGAACCAAGCCGCTCGCTCGCCGCGTTCCTTGGCTTCATTGCTTTGACACTGAGGTCTTCAGTGGAACGCGATGTCTGCCATCAGCTGCCGGGATTCTCCAGCATGGCCGCCGGAAACGCCATCGTCTCATCTACAGCGAGGAGCAGTACCTTCTTGTGCGCAGGCAACAAGCATCTGCGCGACTTTCGAGCGCCACCCCGGGCTGCCTTCGCTAGAAGCGGCAGCGTCCAGAGCAGAAGGGAAAGGCGCAGGCCGCCTCTGCAAACCATGGGGCATTCGCTCGAAAGTCGGCCACAGGGCCGTGTGCCTGTGGCGGTGCGACCACGGGCAATCTCCCGATAAGCGAAGGTGCCGACAAACCATCCAACCTCATGCAAAGTCACTCAAGAGTCAAGAGTTTCAGCTTGAAGCCTTGTCGGTCGCGAGGCTGTCCCAGCAATGGACACGAGGGGTTGCTGCGAGCTTCTCAAGCCCAGCACGAACTGGCGGAAAAGGAAGGTGTCCTGAGCACATGTGGCACCATCGCTGGAACACCTCTCAGCCTTGGCTCTGGGAGCCTGGCGGCAGCAGGAGCCAAGCAAAGGAAGAAGCCCAAGGCGGCGACACGCACCACATTGGGCCGGGCGAGCTCTCGCCAAGAGAAGGGCTCTCTTGGCGAGCCCAAGTCCGACTGAAGCTCTGTGCCTCGTCATCTGGGCACCACATCCCCCGGCCGAAGAACTCCTTTCGAATTTGCCGGAGGAGGGCACCCTTTCGCCAAGCCTCGGACGAGGCCGGAGCGTCCAAAGAATCGATGCCCAGGCGGCTGCAGTCAACATCAAGGAAAGGCTGCTCCTCGCAAGCAAGGCCCTTTACCGACACAAGGGCCACTTTATAAGGCCTATAGAAGGACTTCTACAAGAGTCTGCCAAGCTTCGGGAGCTTGAAGGCCCAAGCTGCCAAGCCAACCGCAAAAGCCTTCGGTCAAGGCGTGACAGTGCCGGCGGCTACTGTTTTTGTTGTCTCAGGCCAGGCGGCACCAATGCTATGCCCTGTCTGGCAGAGGGACCTCATGTGCGACAGGCACCGAACGGGGGAGCCTTTGGCAGCTCTTCGGCAAGATGCTGCAGCGCGGCCGCAGATGCCTCCGTGGATTCGGCCGCCAGCAGGCCGTCCGTGAGCCCATCCGCTACCTGAGTGCTGTCGCCATGATGGCGGTGATGACGAAAGATAAGACCAGGCGATTAGGAGCAGCTTCCCTGCTCTTCCCCATTCGGGCTCAGGGACAGCCGACCCAAGCGATGCGAGGCCAGTGGAAAGAAGCAGCATTGTGGGATCCACCGAAGGGCCAAGGAAGCCAAGGCCGAGCCATGGCAGGGCCGTCACAACCAAAGCCATCACCAGCCTTGGATACAATAATCACAATGATAGTAGTAATAAGAAGAAGAACAATAATAACAATAGAAACAATAGTAAGGAAGGGCTCCGGGGCCGCCGTACAAAGGTGCTTGGTGTAAGAACTCGCAAGACAGTCATGGAGACCGGGGGACGCCCGCTGGCGCGTCGCCTGGGCGGTCCGTTCGATGGCCAGCCTGGCCATCGCAAGGAGAGGGCACCGTTACGGCGGCCTCATCGTACTTGCGACCGCGGCTCACGAGGATCGGCTTCAGCGCCCAAGGAAGGCTTCCTCGAACGAAGGCGTAGCTCGTGGCAGCTTGCTTGCCGTAGCGTGCGTCAGGTTGGGACTGAGATGCCCGCCGAACTCGGGCAGCAGGTTGCTGAAGAGCTGAAGCTCGCGCATGCTGAGAAGCTGTGCCGCCGAACCTCAGAACGAAGGATGTGTACTTGGGCACTTAGACTCGTCTTGGAGTTCCTCCATCTGTCTGCCAACAAATGACTCTTCAAGTAGTCCTTGCCGACCCGGCTGATTCCTTGTGCCAGATACGTCAAAAAGTACCTCGAAGCATCTGGAATGCTCGGTACCCAACTCTTGGCATTGCACAGTTCCCGCATGCTGCATATGAGCTGACGAACAGGGGCACTGAGCGTGCTCGGGCGGCAAGTGGCGTAACTGCCGAATGTGCCGTTGGAAAGGAAAGGACAACCCCCCTTCCATGTCGTGCCTGAAGGACTTTCTTCCACTGTCTGCGAAGGTGATCCATGGCGACTTTCATGGAAATCAACTCCAAGTCCTACCTCTTCCTTGCCCTGCCTAAGCCTGACCCGACTGACAGACTTAGAGTCGTTGGTTCCGCATACTCAAAGGGCAAGTGAGGGGTTCCTCCTGCTGATGGTTCCTAGCAGCTTTGTCACGGTCTCCTGTTCTGAAGCCCAAAGCCAAAACGGCGAAGTACTGTCACCAGGTCACAATCAAGTTGACATCCATGCCCTTGGCCTGCATCCGCAACTGACGCTCCCGCTGCTGCTGCTCGTCCTGTGCCGATTGTCGCTCTACCTGGCGCGACCCGGCGCTTCACTCGATGAGGCGCCAGCATGAGAAAGGCAGCCCAACCCCTCCTCGTACAGCGCTGACTCGTGGCTGCCCCACTCCTAGCAGCAGCAGCGGCTGGCCCATTCCATGCTGTCTGTGTAGATCCACCCAGCCAGACCCTCAAACACACCGAAGATCCTTTCACCCCAATAGAGGAAGACCGAAATGACCGAAACTTGCCCAATGGCCTACCCTGGATATGTAGCCAAACTTTGCAAACAAAAATCAGCATGGCAACACCAAAAGGAGACGTCATTTCGCCTCACCCAGTTTCAAGGTGCTCGGAGACGAAGGTACTCAGTTCGCAAACAAGCCCTAAAGCTCAGTGAACAAAAAGGCTGGAACGGAGCAGGGCAGAAAACACCAAGTCAGTGAATGTTAGTCTCGACATGGTGTGAGTCATGGATATGCCACCACATACCCGGGCCAATGCCCCTTTTTCATGTTGGTGCATCACTCCACCACCATAAACCTGAGTGCATCATCTCCATCCCAGTTCTACTTCGTATGTTGAACTAGCACTTGTCGCACTGCGTTCATTGCCAAGGACCCCTGCTCTCTACATTCAACGTCTTGGCCTGACCCGGAGGGCCAGAAGGCACCCTGCTGAATATGGGCGCGGCTTCACTGCAGGGCACAAGTAGGCAGATCAACATAGGCAGAGAGTTGAAACCAGAATGCCGCAAGCAAAGTTCAGCGGTCAAGACAAGCTCAGGCAAGAACAAGCACCTGCAATTGCCAGGGAAAGAGAAAGCATTCTCTAAACTAAACCGGAACGGCGAAAAACAGTAGAAACTGTTGAACAGAAATATCAAACAAGGACGCCCTCGCCACGAATCTTCTCAAAGTCGGAGATGCTAATTACGAGTCACAGCATGATTGCAATTGTAATCGCTGCACGCAAGCTATGTCAGTGCTGAATCATAGCTATAGTGGTACTGCGGCACATGTAGGAATGTCGGGTCAGGGATCACTATGTGATGCGCAATGGTATGCACCTTCAGCTGGATCAGGAAGTCACGTATGTGCTGCTGGAACCTTCAGAAAGCCATGGGTTCACCGCTTCACTCTCAGAGGAAACGGCCCCGGCTCAACGGGCTGCCGCGACTTGTTGAAGCAATGCAGCACGAAGATCTCCGCCTACATGGAACCACGTTTGCTCTACGTCTCCAGCCACGCGCGCAGAGCGCGGAAGAGCAGCTTGAACTGGGCCTGGCTCTTGTTCAGCGTCGGGAAAGACCTCATGCGGATGACAGCTCATAGCTGAATGCATCTGCTAGACGGTTGAGGCTTGAGCTTGCCGATCAGCTCGAACAGGAACCTGGTGCGCGGCGAATTGAAAAATACCGATGTGCTGCGCTGCGCTGGTCTGCCAGCGGCCGCTCATTTGGCCAAGCAGCTCCATCACACGCTGCTTTGGTGCTGCATCACTGAGCATCTGATTCTCAGCCGCAACGATGAGTTGCCTTCTAGTCGACAGTTTTGCTTCACTCTCACCCCAAGAACATGAACTTTTCTTGCTGCCGCCGCAGAGCAGCAAGATGTGCTGCTGCAGCTTGAAGCCACTCTTGTGGGAAGTGTCGGTGAGAACACCGATTACCTCACGGCAGCAAGCCGAGCAGGACGCAAAGTTGCAGCATCCAGGATGCTTAAATAACAAGTCCCAGGCGGCTTGCAGGATCAGGAAATAGTACTGTTTGAAGAAGGGGACCTTCAGCTTCACAGCCCAGACTCACCAGGAGTCACCAGTCAGCCCCAAAAACGGGTGTCCGGGGACAGCTGCATAAATGCTGCTTGGACCATTCAAGAGTCGCTCCAAGAACTGGGAGAGGACCTGCGGCCGCAGAATGCCCTCCCCCTCCCCCCGCCCGGAGCTTAGTCCCAAGGCTTGGCATCGCATCTGCGTGAAGGCCTGGAGGCCGCTGTCGGCCACTTGAGGCTGCTCGTGCTTCATGGCCCAAATCAGGGAGTCCTTCTTGCCACAAAGACAGGAGGGAGAGAGCCTGCGGGCCCAGTTCGACTCAGACGGCTTTTCCGAGGCTCGCGCCACGAAGAGGATGAGCTGGGCCTCCGGCAAGTAGAACAGGGCCTGCGCCATTTTGAAGCTCCTCTGCTCCCTAACTGGGGAACTGGTGCGAAGCGGTGCGAACCTGGAAGCAATTCGCATTGATGGCCTTCAGCAAGTCGTAAAACTTCACCCTGCGAAGTTTTCCCACAGCGACGCCAAAGCGACCGCGAGGCGACGGTTCTTGGAAGCTCACAAAGTGAACAGCCGCCCAGACACGGTCCTGTGATCCGGATAGCTTTGGAAGTCGCCTTTGATCATGTCACACCTCGCACGGAAAGACGCGCCGGCACGAAAGTGACCCGTGCGCCCGCCCTCTCTTGATGTCATCTTCTTTCGATGCCGAAGAAGCGGAAGGCACGGTGGACAAAGTAGGACTTAGACTTATATGCCCTGAGAGGTGCGCGTGCACTCCAGCACCATCTCGAAGATCCGGCCGACCTCTGACGGTTGAAGAACGTTTCCCCCAATTGCATCTGAATTTTATGGTGTTTTTGGCGGATCCGAGCCCAAAGCTTCCTGCGAGATGGAGTCCTCAGATGGTACAAACACACCAGAGCGGATTGAACCAGCGCTAGCATTGCCATGCCTACGCTCGCATTGTCCGGCCCGTGCGACAATCAGCACATCTGGCATCCTAATCTCTATACTGTTATAATTCGTCTCTTGGGGACTGACCTCGATCCCGAGCTGACACTCCCCGATTCAATGACGAGTCTCGTGTATCCTTGTCGCCAGGACGGTGAGCAGATCCTGGGCTAGAAACCAGCTGCGAGAGGCACCCAACAGTTCACCAAAATGCGCCAAGTCGCCAAGACTTCCGCGTCGCGTGCCTGCCGTGCTCGAAGAAGCATCCAACATCAAAGGAGACCTTGTGATAACCATTGAACCTGTGGCATGTTGCTGCGGTAGTCTGCCAGAACCGGCTCCTGCAGAGCATTTGAACAACAAGGATAAGGATTGCTGAAAGCACCTGAAGGCCTTACAGCCAGTGCTATTACTACTTTCACTTGTAATTTGCTCTGCACAGATCGGCTCCAGCAGCGGCGGGACAAAGCGTTGTGCAATCCTCGGCTTTGGATGCTTTAGCTCATGCAGTCGTTTTGCGAGTCTTCTCGGAACTCTCCGGGAAGCCGCACTGCGCAGGTGTCAACCGCACCTCTGCAGCACCCTGCGGGGTAGCTGCATCCACGAAGGAGCGGACCAGCCGCAGCGTGTCACCTGCTCCAGCTCCCACTTGGCTCTGTGATCCCGGTGCCGCAGGTGCCCAGTGCGGCCACGAAGCGCTTCACATTCCGCAGCAGCTTCACCTAGGATGAAAGATTCAAGAAACATTGCCAAACACGGCTTTGAGGCTTCGAAGCCAAAGCTCCGGGCGTTTGCCAGATTCATGACTTGCGCCCCTTGTTGCGCAGTGCTGTGGGAGATGAAATCGCTGCAGACCTTCATCGAGCCAGAGCAGCCAGATGCATCGTCTAAGACAAAGGAGCCTTGTAGATCTTGAGCATGTCGCCGTAGATGCCTGCACGATGTATACTGACAAACGAGGACTGCCCGAGGCTGCACCGCAGGGCACCTGCCAGCTGCGCGTGACATGCCGTGCCGATGGCGACGACCATGCGCTCGTTCACCCGGAGGATCAAAGAGATCTCCCGCAAGACCTGCAACGAACTGCGGCGGCATGTGATGACCCGAGTACGAATGCCCGACTAGAGCTGCGCCGGAGCTGCTGGGTGCCCGCCTGTTGGTTCTGCACGAAGGCTTCCAAGGACCCGGTGGCAGAAAGTCCTTCTTAGATTCTGCAAGCAAATTATGGGAGCTCTGAGCTTGCTGCAGCAGGTCCTCTCAGTATGGCAGCCCATTTATCATTGAAGAGGCCTGACCCACCATGCCAGGACGAGTTGTCGGCTCGGCTGCTCGTGACTGCTCACGTCTGCAGAAACCAGTGCAAAACATCCGAAGGCACAGTCGCTCGGGCAGAGGCCCATGAGGAGTGCAATCAAGCGAACCTGCAGGACTTTTTTGTTTTTTCAGCGTAGCTTGCGCAAAAAAAATTGTTCGCCTTCTGGTCCGACGAGGCAGCGCTGATCATGTGCCCGACAGCCTCGAAGAAAGTGCCTCGGAACAGAACAGGCTCAGAGTTTCTCTTGAACGGAACATTGCAGACCAAGTTGCAGATTTGCAAAGGCTCCAGTTCCGATATGTCCTGCCCACATTCGGTCTTGTAATTGCCGCAGGATGCTAAACTGCTAAACCAACATGATTTCCAAGGGCACAAGATAAGCCTCAACTGTCCTGAGCGATGTGACTTGGCATGGTCTCGATGAAGGGTGCGGGCTCGTTGTTCTGCGAATACGAACACATGGCACACTGATCTGCACATCGACTGACTTCGCGACAGGATCCCTCAAAAGGTGGTGCCTGCTGCGTGATGAACTTCTTCTTGCACTTCTGGCAGATCCGCAGGAAAGTGTCGACTGCCATCTGCCTGAAGCCGTTTTCCGATTGACGTGTGCGAAACATGGGCTTCACAAACTCACAAACGCAGCTTTGGCCAGGCGGCTGGACCCCGGGAAAGGTCTCGTGCATGAACTCGAAGAGCTTGAAGACCACCTGTCGACAAACTCTGTCGCCAATTCTTGCTTTTGATCTCTTGCGCTCGACTTTGGCATCGCCAGAAAACGGCTTGCTTACAGGCAAGGAAAGACCACGCCACCAATGTGTGATCACGGTCAAAACTTGGCTCCGGTGACGTCTCAGACCGATCTGATCTGTCAACGTGCTACATCGCTCACTCCCCACCACTGGCCCCTTGCGAGCAAGGCACAGTTTTCAGAAACTTCCAATGCGCCCGAAGGAACCGTGGGTACTGGCCCACCACGTACCTGAGCCGAACCCAACTTGGCAAGCAGTGCCCTTCTCTCACACAATGACTGCCAAGATGCATGACGTTGCTCGCCACCGCAGCTTTGTTTTCCTGCAGTTTGGCCCTGCTTGCATCTCCTACTATACTTAGCATCTTCCAGAACTTGCCCAGCTTTGCACTCCTTCCCCTTCTTCATGTCACAAAGGCTCAGCAGGTCCTTGATTACCTTGCAACTGGAAACTGCCACCACCATCAGAAAGCTTAGAACATGTGCTTTCCGCTCGACTTTAATTTCAAGTTCGCATCTTCTACATCTACTTCGTTTCAGCTGCATCGTCACAGAATCCTCTGTCATGGCGGTGGTGGCCGTATGGCTTCAATTGCGAGCCATCATGCGACCTCACGATGGCCGCCTCGAAGACTTGTTTGACGCAAAGCCCCGATCCTCCTCTTCCTTTCTTGTTGCTGCTAGGCCGCTAGGCTTGCTCCTGCACTCATTGTCGCCAGTGTTTTTGCGATCCCCACTACAGTTGGGATTGCTACGAATGTTGATCATCGCCGCTGATGCTTGTGTCTGTGCTGATGTGATTTGGCGGTTGCTTGGGCTACTGTGGTCTTGCACTTGCTTCTTTCCATCGTCGTCATGTACTATTACAGTACTATTGAATCTGCATGACTGGCGCCGTGGTGCGTTTATTCATGTACCCTTGTGTACAGTGCCACCCACTCTCGGTGGCAAAAGCGTACAGCACTAGTTGCATCTCTCAGCACGCCTTTTTAGGCTGTGACAACGTAGGATTCGGAGCATGTAAACGGTCCGATGGTCGCTGGAAAGTTTCCTGTATACTGTATACTCCATATTGACTCAACACTTTGCCTTATTGACGCTGCGGCTGCTTCTGCTAGTGCTACAACGTCGACTATGACTACGACTGCTGCGACTACAACGACTGCGAGAATAGCCGTCACAACTCCTGTGCCATCGTCACCAGTAACACCCGCTGCAGAGAGGGCTGCCGTGCTAGCTCTTTCGATCTCTGGTGTCACTGGGCATGTCCACTTGGTTGCATGTATGTCAAGCAAGGCGCCGAGACCACGAATCTTCGCTCATCCACTTCCTGGGGGAGGACGGGCCAAAACATCTTCGGATGGAGAGAATGCTTTCAGCGTCAAAGGAAGGCGGGCTAAATATGAGGCTTGTGCCCACCCTCTACAGTTGAGTGCATACATACGCACTTACATACATGCCTGCATTCTTTAGCACTCGCACTCGACCAAGTCAGGCGAGGTTTGGGGCCACTACATAGCATGAAACGGCTCTTCACTGGCCATCCCAAGGGACTCAGCTCATCTCGGGCACAAGCCAGTACAAATACATACATACATACATACATACATACGTACGTACATACGTACATACATACATATACATACATACATACATACATACATACATACATACATACATACATGCCCACATGCCCACATGCATGCCTGCGTACCTCGGTATAGTACGTACGTACCTGCCCACCATATGCACATATATATATATAAGCACCCATGCATCAATTTATCCACCCCCACCGATTCAATCCATCCACCCATGAATCCATGCATAAATATGCCTACCTGCCTGCCTGCCTGCCTGCCCACACGCCCACCTAGATTTATGTATGTAGGAATTGCCCCGCGCCTGCATGGCACCGCTGATGGAGCCGATGGCATAGCATAGGCGGTTCAGGTTCGTGGGGATCCACTTCTCCATGTCCTTCCTCTCCAAACACTCCTGTCGAGCCAGCAAGAATAGGCAAGGCGGGAGGTGTGGGCTTCGGCCGGGTCCCTGCCTGCGCCACTCGTTGTAGCACGATGCGCTCCTTACAGCTCTGGAGCTCTTCTCGCTCTCGGGCGCTCTGTGCTGCAACCGGGCAAGGAGCCATGTGGCTGGAGTCCAGATGGGTCAAGTAGATCAGGGCCTGAACTTCATTCTATCCACCAGCATTCATCTTACAATGCTTTTCAATGCTCGGTGACACGTTGGTGTCTGCAGGCTCTGATTCGATCAATGTCCCAGTGCAGCGATATCTTGGCTTTGCGGCTGTGGACACCGGGTCTCAAGGTCCCCGGCTTCGCGCATCATCTTGTACAGCGCTAGCTCATCGGTATCCTCCTCCTCTACACGCACCTGACTGAAAAATCCGCAACAGTTCTGCCTCACAGCAGCAAGCGAAGGACGTAAAGTCTGCAACGCTGTATGGTACGCTTTATCACTTGGCCAAAAATGTGGGCACGTCGAAGGCGCTCATTTGGATGGGTTCCTTCCCTCATTCGAGGGACTGCCCCACTTGAAAACTCAGCGATGCTCTCCTCATCGATGAGCCCAACGTTAAATCCACGGCCCCGGTTTTCGGGCCCATGACTGTGACAGTTCTACTTCGATGTGGTACCGGCTACGACGAAACCACTAAAGCCGCCAAGAGTTGGTGGCCTGAGCTGCGGACTGCGGATGGAGCTTGGTAAAGCTTCCACTTCCGAAATCAGCCACCTGTCACCTCGTCTGGGGTCCCGGACGCGTGACTGCAATGTGTCGATGAGAAGTGCCGTAGGCACCTGCGAGGCGGAACAGGCGAGCATGTGCCGCAAAGGCCTCCAGGGCTCCACCTCCCGAATCCAATCTTTGCCGGATGTCGCAGATCCGGCTGCAGGCGGCGGCTCGGGATTGGCTTCGGGAACCTGGCTGGGAGGAGCCTGCTTTCGCGCAAAACTCCTTTCAACCGCTTGGCCCCCAGGCCTCGTCAAAATCCACAACCTCCAGCTGCCCCGGAAGGACGGGCTGCCTGAGCTCTGAAACTCACCATGAGCGCCCTCTCAGAGGCCCAGCATCCCAGGCTCCGGCGTTCCCGCGGGCATGGCCGGCGTGCGCGGCCTCTGCGGAAGAGGAGGAGCAAGCAGCTCCGGGTCCTCCAGAAATGGGTTTGTTTTTAGTGGAACGACTCTGCGGCTGCGCATGGCTGCGCTCTGCCTCGGCCTCCACGTCCTCCAGCACCAGCTTCCCTGCCGCCTCGGGTCCTCTCCAAGGGGCCAGGGCTCTCAGGGCCGCTGGTCTCGGGCCAAGGACGGGTGAAAGTGAAAGTCTGGGCCTGGTTCTGACAACTACGATAATGAGATTATAATGAGGATTCATATGATGCTCACTTTTGGCTCGTCCAGCCTGCTCTTGTTCAAGACTCTGCTAGGAAGCTCTAGACGATGGATCGGCTGTCCTGCTGAAGGGGCCGGGATCGGGGCGTCCGCCGGGACGTCCAGGACGCGGCGGAGATCCGCTTGAAGCTTCGCCAGCCTCGTCTTCAGGAGCCGGTCCTGGAAACCGAACGCCCTCAACTGAGAAAGCACCCGACGCGAGAGTCCCATCTGAAGATCATGGGCCCGTCCTTTTCCGCCACTTTGATCTCAAGCCTCCGGAGGTCGAAGTGGCCGATCTCCGCGTCTTTCCGAAGATCCAAGACCTTCTTGGCTGCATGGTGCCGGCTCCAAGCAAGGAGACAAAACAACGCAAACTAGCCTATGCAGGCCTATTCCTAACCGCTTCTCGTAGGCGTAGACGCGGCAAAGCGCAGGGAGAGCTCGGAGCTTGCTCGCTCTCTCCCCACGTCCATGGCCGGCCTGGCTTCGGAACTGGTCGAAGTCGAGGTAGACCTTATTGCGGTCAGCTTCGGCCTCAGCGCTTCATGCGTGGCTTCATTCAGACTGACAGGGTGTGGAACTTGCCGTCCTACATCTCGGAATAGCTCTTGTAGAATTACGCAGGTTTGCCCGCTCCGGTAAGGCTGGACTGACAATAGACATCATGGCGGATGCCAGCACTGTCGGCGGATCCTGACCCAAAGGCTCCAGAGAGGCCTGATGTATGCAGTTGAGCTGCATTGGTATCCTCGTCATCATCATCTGCAGCAGCACCTCATCGCAATCCAAGGAGCTGCCTAGACCCAGCAAGCGTGAAGCCCGCAAACTGCAGACAGTGCGAACAGCCCCTGCGTTGAGAACGAATTCTTGAATTCAATCTGTCTTGTGATAGATCTACCCCATCATGTTCTGCATCATCTTGATCAACCATTACCACCAAAACCACAACCAACAACACCCGAAAGAAATCATCCCCGTGGGGGGGATTACTGGACCCTTGGAAGACGTTTAAAAGCCCAAAGTGCCAGGCCTGCCGTTCCAAACATTCCGCTTTGGTTTGTTGACGGCATGTGTTTTTCGTTGGCCGGGTTTGTTTTTGCTTTTTTTATACAGGCTGGAGTAGTGCTCGCCCGGCCAGATTCCCCGCAGCACATCGCCCTCGTGGCGACATGCTCCAGGCTAAGTACGCCCAATCTTCACCATCTTACGAGCTAACCGGTCGGATGAGCTGTTGAAGGAGCTGATAAACTGATGTTCCTGATTGCTCGAGTCATGGAAAAGTCGAGTTTTGGACGCGCTAGTCGCGCATGCGTCCTCGTGAGGCTCAGAGGATAATACAATATGTTTTTCAAGTCCAGTCGCGTCACTGTCCTGTTGGGCATGCTTTATTTCTTTCAATGGTCGGCAGAAATGTGACTATTCCGCCCTCACCCGCTGCTCAACCCCACCCCTTCCCCCTACCCCACAAGTCCCAGAACAGGAACGAAGCAATGCAAAGCGCAGTCATAAGCCTCGATGCGAAATCCTCATCATCATCATCGACGCTCAGTCCCAGCTCTAGCACGTCTTTGGGAATCTGTAAGGGTCCGAAGTAGACACCTATTCATTCATGATGATCAGTACGTCGCTGGCGTTCATATGACTATCAACATATGCCGATGGCACTGGGTGTCGGAATGGACGCCGCATTTGTTTAAGGGATGACTAATTATGATCACCTCGCCGATTAAGATATAATGTAATGATACTTGTATGTTGGCTTTTTTGTTGTTAACTCGATACACAGGCATTGTCAAACCTTCAATTGCTTTCTTACAGTCTTGAATACATTTAATATTTGCGCTTTTGCTACTTAATAACTGTCCAACATCAAAATATACCGTTGAAGTTTCGTTGACATCACCTTCCTCTTCTAACAGTGTTAACTGTTTTCTATATCTGTGTTTCTTTTCAATGTTATCATTATGATAATACTTATAAAAATATTCAATTGCTTCATCAATGTCTTTCATTTCTGCTTCTAAATGTCTATTCAATACTGTCATACCACATTCACACAAAAAAAGGGTCTTTCTCCTGGTTTCATAGTTTCTATGTTTTCCTTCCGGTATTGTTTGGAGTATTCCTTTATTGTGTCTTGATTGTTTGTTTGCTCTATATTCCTTCTATTTCCAACTGATATTATCCTTATCTCTGTCATAATACTCTTTATGATTTTATCGCAGTTTATCTTTGAAGTTTTACGTTGCCACTCTTTGCTTTTAGATCTACGTCTTTCTTGACTATTATCCAACCATGGCTTTTGATCTAAATGTTCCATATTGTCTGGTTGATATTCTTTAATGGTTCTTCCATCAATAACTTGGTTCAACGTACCCACCGTCGTTCTCCAGTAGCCTTCACGATTTCTCAGATCTTTCAGACGTTCATACTCAACATCTTCTATTAACTCAAGGGGCTTTTTTCTGAACCAATGTCTCTCAATGATTTGAGCAACTTCTTGTTGCTTTCTTTCACTATTTTCATGTCATAAATATGACGAGCAAATCGTCTGTTTAAGGTTTGTGTCGTGCTTCCAATATAGACGTCATCATTGGTCGTATTTACTATTGTATATATTCGTCCTATGCCGTTGTTGGTGCCTAAGGTTTTGAATTAAATATATCGAAACACCGGTAAACATTTAACTTAACATTTAAATTCGGGAACTTCGTATTTACGTTTGCCACAGCTTCTTTTCAGGTTGGTTTTTCCCAACTAATCCAGGGTCAGTGGAAACCAGGCGATCTTGCCAGTTCTGATTTCCGGCTCCATGTCTCTTAATGTAGTTCTGCTTCCGTTTTTCATCTTTATGTTGTGCAAATCACTAGCATTCGCTGGGCCAACAGGAATGGTCTTTTCACCATCAAAAACTGCATCGTATTTCTTACCTTTCCTGTTTGATTTCTTGAAAATAACATCTGTCATAATACGAGTATTTACACATGATTTATAATGAATTGTTAGTTATTGTATTCTTTAGCGGTTGGCAAGGTAAGCGGGGTGGGCAAACGAATAACTTGTGGTTCATCTTTCATTAACCTCACTACTGCGCAGTAGTTAAACCTCAATACTCCCAGTAGTCAGTAGTTAAACCTCACTGCTGCCAGTATTTAGACCCCACTACTGTCGGACTTGCTCAGAGGTTGCCGGCTCTGCGAGGTCACGAGTCGGATCGAAATCTAGGTCTAGGTTTCCTTGCCTTTTGGTGCGAATGGCCCAGATCATTGCTCCGAAGCTGCGAGCTTGATTCGGCTGGTGACTGTTGTCACCGCTCCACTCTTAAGAGTCTAAGCACCACCACCATCAGAATCGGCACCCGCGAAACCCCGAGAACCGGCCTCTAAAGATCGTCGCCTGCAGCTCTGAAAGGCGCTCCGCCACGGGCTTGCGAGCATCGACTTGGAGCCTGCTTTCAATCGTCAGGCAGGCCCCCTAAAGCATCCAATAACAGAAAAGCACCCCACATGTGATGATAAAGGCCTGCACCCGCCTGAACATCTAAAGGTGAGATTCCAATCGAAAGGAAAAAACTGCAGAACACCGCAGCTAAAAGACGCAAGCAGTAAGCTTAACGGCTTAGCGACATACATGTAGGTGTGTCAAACATGCAAGTATGAGACAAGAAGAAGTGAACGAACAAGCAGGAAAAAAATAAGATCGGATCATCAACAGGGCGTGTAGCACGTGTAAGTACGCACATGGCGGCACCGGCCACAACACATGCCAATTAGCTTCCGGACCTGTTGCAACTGTGCCAAAAGCTGTACTATCCCAACGCTGTAACTCAGAGTTTCGGGCATAGAAGCTTACCGTTCCCACCTGGGCCTGCAAACTCAAACCATGGGTAAGGAAAGGCTGGAGGACTGTGCATTTTCAACCGCTGTTCTCTTTACAGCCTGTATTCCGGTCCTATCTTGTGCTCAAAAGCCTCCGGTAAGCCGTGCTGCCCCACCAACTCCTTCAACTTAGGCCACTTCTGCCTCGCCAGCAACTGCAGGCACCGACTGCTCGATGCAACCCTCGCCCATTCCTGTAGACAGGGCGTTGCAAAGCGCGGCAAGCATTGAAGCTCGCAGGAGAAGCTCGCGGACGTCGGCTCGCGAACCTAGCCTGACTATCCGCTTACGTCGAAGGCTGCCAGTCACTTCGGCCAATCCCATGCTCGAAGACGCATCGCTCAAAGACTGTTCAAACATGTTCGAACCCAGCTAATGTTTTAATAGTGAGGAGTAAGATCAAAGTCGGGTCCTCTTCTGCGATCCTTCCATCTCCATCCCGGTCTGCGGCCTGCAAAACTGCTTTGAAACAAGCTGCTGTCGTCACCTGTTCCAACAGATCCTAGGTTTGAAAGTTGAGGTGCCGTGCCAGTGTTAGCAGCACTCGGCTTGAACATCCACCTCTCGAATCTGTGAATCGGCTCAATACGCATTTACCTCAAGCTTTCAGGCTTGCAAGTTGTGGCCGCTTTGTGTGATTTAATGCCATGTCCAGTTTACCGCCAGCACACCGTAACACAATACACCATGCTCCCCTCAACCGAATGTTGGTTTTACAAAATAATATAGGAGAAGCTGTAGAATTCAGAAATATGTTTTCTCGACCACAAACCTCGAGATCCCAGTGCGATTGTGCAGTTGTGCGGCGTGGTTGGGGTGATTGAGCGGGAGGCCTCATGATACCCTGGGCGGATGACGAAAGCAGCAATACAGCAACGCGTAAACTCCGGAATTTAATTTAAGTTATTGCAATAGGGATCTATAGTAAATAATGCAGTATGGTCTCCTTACAACAGTAACTTAAACTAAGATCCTTTAACAAGAACCTAGTTGTATGGCCACCCTCCATCAGCTGTCAGAGAACCCTCGATCTACGCGGGCTGTGCACCTCGAAAAGGCGCCTGAGCAATGTGTCAAGGTCAGCTCGTTCTCGTTCTTTCTCCTCTTCTTCCGAACCTTTGGCATCATGATGATCATCAAAACTTGAGGTCGGAGGAGGCAGTGCTGTCTACAGCAACTAATTATCTAATTGCGCAAGCAAGTCTCTGTCAGCAATCACCTGGACAAGGTACATCCCGAAGCAGGAGAGATGCTTTGGTTAGCTGAGGCGAGCTGGTGCCTGGCAGAGGATTCCAATCAGCATGTTGAGCAAGCTGATGCCACACCTGGGACACAAGCTTCAAAAGCTAAGGCGGACCAAGATCCAATGCCAACCTCTACAGACCAAGTGGCAGCACGAGGAAGACGATGGCCAACCACATTAGGGCAACGCTCTCCTGAACAGATGGCATGGTTCCACTCTCCAGCACGAGCACGGAGATGCTGTTGGAGCTAGTCCTCCCGGAGGGTGATCAAGAAAAAGTGGAGATTGTCACCTGTAGTGCCGGAGGACGCTGAAAGTCAACCCTTGCCACTCGTGGGCAGCACAGATTCCGGGGAGGCACCCAGAATCCCGTGCGTGAAGAGCGACATCATGCTCGCGAACATGTCGCTGAAGAGCTCCGGGGCCTTGGACGATCTGGATCCCTTCGGGAGCGCCGACTCGGTGTTTATGGTACTTAGGGCTTTGGATTCGGGACTGCAGTTGAGGGCGCAGCCAAGGGATCCTCGGCATCGACGAGTTCCGGCGGTCTTTGGTAATTCGGCGTACCCAGCTGACTGGTGAAGACGATGGCCTGGGAGAGAGCAGAGCAAAGGTCAGGAAGCGACGACTTGTGTCCAGGGGGCGAAGATATAGGTGACGATCAAGAGGAACAGCAGCACCCAGGCCACCGACCTGGAAGAAAAGGGATGTTTAAGTCTGTTTAAGCCAGTTTTGGCAGGGTTGATGCTGGCCCTTCCCGGACAAAGCCCTGAAACGTCGATCTTGAAAAAGCCNNCGGTTTTCCCCCCCCCCCCCCCCCCAAGCTCAAAGACACTCTCTGACCCCGATGGAAGTCCACTCCACTCCGCTCCGTTGCTCCGAGCGGCTGCATGGCCCTTGCCATGCCTCGCACCAGCGTCAGGAGCTCAGGGAAGAAGCGCATGAAGCGCACCTCCGAGACTATGGCTCCCTCTCTCCCTCTCTCCCTCTCTGGGGTCTCCCCCATCCACTGTTCATAGAGACGGGGCCCGGACCATGCCTCAGCACACAGGCAAGGTCGCACTGCGGATCGCATACATCAATGAAAAATGTAATTATAAAGGTGTGTGTATGTTTGTAGATACCCACGCATACACACACCGAGGCATGCATCCATCCATGCGTCCGTGCATACATCAGCCACCATACCTTGCCTTACACAGTCTTGCCTTTATGACAGTACGCACGGGACGGCGCAGCGCAGGAATAACCGTTCACAGCGCAGGACAGGGTAGCATCGCATTTCACAACATGAATTCGCAGACGATGCGCGCGTGTAAACGTGTGTATGTGCACATCATAAGCGACTCCCTTTGATCAAACTTTGATCGACTCCTGCCAGGAGGCGCGTCAAGCGCAGCAGGCGCAGAAGTCGCAGGCTTGAGAGGCCCGAGATGTCTGGCCCACCTGCACTCCGCACAGAAGCCCGGAACTGTCGGAACTCCAGAAATGAATCCTTGGCATGGAGAATCACGTGAAATCAGCTGGTTTCAAATGCCTCCTGTGGCCAGGGCCACAAGCGGCAGCACCCAGGTCTCCAGAACCATCAGGATCACCTCGCAAGGGGCGGCGTAGTGGCGTAGTGCAGTAGGTCTGCTTCTGACGGGGACGAGCGAAGCTACAGATTTTATGGTCAGATAGTAAGGGGCTTGATGACGCCCGATCCCGTGCGGCTTCTGAACAACTGGCAACCTATAAGGCAAGCCTACAGATCCCTCCAAGGCACAAGAGTCAGATCGAAGAGGAACCAGAGATCTTTGCCTGTCATCTTTCGGGCGTGAACTGAGCTCTTCAAGTCGCTGCGGTCTGCTGCCAAGCTGCAGCAGGAGCACCAGGTCTTCGCCCCGAAGAAACGAACGAAAATCTCAAGACTGAAGTAGCCTGGGCTCTGTCTAACTCATGCCATGCAGGATGCTCGGAACGGCGACTGGGGGATTCAGTGGCACCAGGTGGCAACAGAAGCAGTTCTCCACGACGGTGCTCACAGGTTCCAGGGGCAGCTTGCCATTCACCATCAAGGTGACATGATTCCACTCCACATCCTCAGTCCAGTTTGCCCATCCCTGGCCCTCTCTGCGTGCTCTCCCGGCTCTCCCCGTTTGCAGGATTTGAAGCGTTTGTCGTCGATCGATGTGTCTCACAGCATGTGTCCATCCGACTTACGGTCAGACGATAATCAATAGAGAGCGAGAGCTAGGGAACACAAAATGGCAAAAGGGCATGCTCCCCACAGCCTCAGGCTGAAGCCGTAGCCGAGGAGGATGAGATCAGGAGAGAAAGCCAAAGAGATACTGACATGACAGGACAGAGGGAGGCGCAGAAGCTTTCACTCTCTTTGCTCGTGACCTTGGCCACCGAGTCTCGACGAACATCCACCAAGCATTAACCACGATCACGAGAAGTGTGGCGGTCTCGAAGTACTTGTCTTCAGCGATCCTGCCACTGATATGCTTGACGCAGCTTTTTCTTGACTGCGCTTTGCACGGGTGGCTACTTGCTCCTCTGCTTCCTAGCGCATGCCGTGGCACACTCCTTGCTTCTGACTCACTACCTTCTCGCTTCAACTCGGCCTTGCAATGTCAAGGCCCCCCCGCCGCGACTCTCTGGTCCTGCCCAAGACTCCTGCAGGTGGATCCCGCTTCGGCGGCTCCAACGTGAACACCTCGGAGAGGATGCCCCGACCCCACACAGGGATTTGCGTTGAAAATCAGGAGCAGCTGCCACCCCAAAGACCCGATTAGCAAGTACTGTTGATGCTTTTCCGTCTTTCCAGGGTTTGAGAATGCGGACAGTGCTGAGCGGAATAGTCCGTGCGAGTTGCGCTCAGCGGCCGAGATCCAGCGACTACGCCTGCGCTGATCGCACCCTATCTTGACAGGGACACTCAAGGAAAGGATTGTACTCCCCCGGCCTGACAATTCCTCCTCCATTTAGCCCGGAGCGACATATTCAGCCTCCAAGTCAGACGAATCCCAACATGCACATGTCTCGCAGATTTCTACCATGTGATGCCGCAGATCGAGGCAAGGGCTTCTATTCCCGGCAGTGTCGACCATCAAGACATTGCTAATCTGCATCTTTCTGGTCTCTCGATTCTCTAGATGCTGAGGACGAGTGGTATCAATGCATGGTCTACGGCTACGACATGGACGAAGTGGTGTGCAACAATATCATCTGGCGTCAGGATCCGCCCTTAAGCCGGAGTGCTCGGACGGTGGCAGTATTCCGACTGCTCGTGCCTAACTGTGCCCAACCTGGTGTCACCGGCAGGGGCATGCAGTATCCCTCCGGGCTGTGGCACAATGTGGCCTTCCTCGTTCTCCTTAATGGTGACCTGGTTGTGTCTTGCGAAGCGGCAAGCCACAAAACCCACGGGTCGTGCTGGGACTTTCCCTGGCCTCTGGAGGCTTCGCCATCTTCGAGATCAGCACCTGACGCACCTGGCGAGCTCTACCTTCGGCCACTTTGGCCCTGGCCCAAAAAGCCAGGTGGCCTCGGCCAGGACCGGCGCGTAGAGCTTCAGCTTCTCACGTTGGCCTAGTGGCAGATTTGCACCCATGAGTCCTCTTACCACACTTAACAATATGAACAACCTAAAGAAAGACATCTCCCTTGGTCTGGGAATCCACATATTGGCTTTAAAGTGCACAACACAGGACTGCGCAGAAGGGTGCTTAGATGTGGCGACAGCCAGCATCCCGTCTCAAACACGAGAAGCCAGCAGTGTGATGGGCAGCATGAGCTTATTCGAATGGTTTGGGATCCTTCCCGAGGCGCGGACTATCTCGATGTCCGTCCATAAGCAACCTGGGATTGCAAGATCTCGGGAGAGCTCGAGGTGAACAGAGAACTGCAGAGTAGCATTGGCTGCGTCTTGGGCCAAGCTGCGGCGCTTGCATCTGGCCCAACTGGGGTGCTTGGTTCTCCAAGTAGACCCGTGCGCCTTGGTTTCTCAAGGAAAGCTGCCACGACCAAAATGGCGGCAGAGAGTGTGGCACTGCTGTTCCGGGGCATTCGCTGAAAGTTTGCCAGAACTCAACACAGATTTTGAAGGTCTCCTAACCAACAGGCAACCGTGTGAGGCAGGTGATGAACCAGCTATCCCTGTCCTCGTTGGGGCCCATCGAAATCCTGTCTTAGACACACAATGCCAGGCGCCTGAACCCTGACTGTGTCCGACCTGACGAGGTAGTTCAGGGCCGGGATCATGTACCTGCTCTGGGCCTCGAAAGGCGCGGGGAGCTCTTGAAACAAAGCATGAGAGTGCGTGACTGTAGATGCCCACAGGCAGGATTTGCGTGCGATGTGCATTTTTGTTCTACACATTATTTTCTTTGCCAGCAGGTCGAGTTTGGTTTTGCAACTAATGGGTGGGTATGTATGTACATACGCACGAATTCACATGGACCATCCCGGCTGGATGGAAGTTCTGATGCTCCGCGGTCGCAGACACAATCTTTGCCTGACATCACGTTCATCCTCTGGACAAACCTTAGGTTACCCAGTAGCCCCCTAGAAATAACAAGGGTGCCCTTTTTCCTACTATTCGGTTTTCATCAGGGAACCAAAAAAGAAAAAAGGGCAAAAGGGTCCCACTGTGAAACCTAGAACCATAGCAGGCACAGAACCTTGCATCGATGCCTCGGCGGTTCCCTAGCCTTTCTGTCAATGGCGGAGCACATCCAAATGACTATACTGGCATACCTATTGAGCCCTGAACCTGTTGAAAAATAGGCTCTTCGTTGAAAACCCGGTTCTTACTGTATTAACTTCCGCTTGTGCCTTGAAAAAAAAGGCGCGGTTCTGATTCAGAAACCTGGTTTCTGTTCGAGATGAGCGCAATAGCACCGTAAAACCTAAACGACCAAAACCTTGCTAGCCCGGAAAACAACCATGGCATAGGGATATCGGACGTCTGAGAAAACCGATGTTCATTCGGCCTTGCGCTGACACAGAAGTGGCTCGACCGGGAGCATTCGCAGTTTCAAACCCGGTACAAGACCTGCAAAAGCCGACACAAACCCGATCAGTACTAGTCATGCACATGTATCTGAATAGCTGTACTCCCTTGTTTTTTCTGCTGTTGGTGCAGATACTATATTCAAAGGCATGGAGGCATTTCTGATGCCGGTTGTGCAAGCCATATCTCAGCAAGTGGAAAGGTAAGGGGCCCATCTTGGAAGGCAACTAAAGCCATATAACCATGCACAAGCTGAATAAAGTTCATGTGCACACACACACACACGCACGTATACACACATGGTATGCGCAACATGACACATCCAGTGGCAGGTGGAGATACAAGGTCTGTACTTTTGCACGGTTGTTTCAATAAATCTGTCTCCATAAACCAGGCACGTGTGCATGCAACCGATGCATCGCCACATTGCCCCCATTGTACTTTGATGCCCAGAGCTTCCGCTGCCTCCATAGCAGCCATGTGGTGCTTGAGGAATCCAGTCAAGAGCAGGGCTACCTCTGACACCACCGAAGCCACAGGGAAGGTTCCAAACCAAAACAACAAGTCTGCTCACCTGGTTGTGAAACACCTCCCAGAAAACGCGCTGGGGGCCCGGGAGGTTCGCACAAGCCTGCAACACTGGCGACATGGTGCGAGTAGAAAGGAGCCAGGGCCAAGGGATTCACCGGCTTGAGCTCTGGAGCGCCTCGTTGATGTTCTCTGGCAGCTGCTGGATCCTGCCATGAGCCGACGTTGCCGAGAATTCAGATTTCTGAACCCAAGCGCTGAACCTTTGAAACTCTGAAACATGGTAGTGTCGAGGCACTTCTCCACCACGCCCTGGAAGCACTGGATAATCCTCAGGCCAAAACAGAGCCAGGATCATCACTTGCGAAGCTTTAAACAGCGGACGCTCAGGAGGGAGCTGCGGCTGGTATTGCTGAACCCCCTCGTGCAGGCAAGCAATCTCGTTGAGGCATCGGGCACCTTGGGAAGTCATGAATGTGGTGAAACAAACGCTGGAAAGTGCACAAAGATCTGAGGAGGCCACAGTCCAGGCGATACCTCAGCTACCAGCTGCTTGAAGTGGCCGGAGGTGAGTCATGCTTCCTACCAGAGAAAAGCATTGTTGCTGCCCGTGCGTCTCCAATGGATCCCAGAAGTGCAACAACAGTATCTGGATGAGGTCGGTCTCGAAAATGAAAGCCAACCTAGAGAAGATGGAGTTTCGTCTCGAGTCTCGTGATGACACCAGCTCTACGCTATGCTGGGGGTTCTTGCTCCAACATGCCCCCCCCGTCTCCAGTGCAGCCCAGGAGCGCGATCCACTCAAGGAAATTTGCAAGGGTGCCTCGGACTCGTCGACTGGAAAGAAACAAGACTACTACCTCGAAAGGATGCAGCATGACCATATATATTGTCAAATATTGCTCTCTAGCGCGCCATCACGAGGCGGACAAAGAAAGGAAGGCGAAGCTGTGCGACTCGTTGCCTCATTCCGTCGAGGAGCTGAGGGTTGTCGTGATCAGGGATGGCTTCACGGAGCCAGGGCTCTGAACATGGCCTCAGCCAGCAGGACTCCAACAAGCCCCAAGTATAGGTACGACAGAACAACGCATGCTTTCCTTAGCATGGCATCAATCAGTTGTTCCTTTGCGCTCTTTTCGACTTCTCGACGATATTAAAGGTTTATATCATCGGGCCTTGCAGGAACCTGAACTTTGCAGGGATTTTCTTCCGCAGCGTAAACTGACAGATCCTGAAAACGCACAACGCCTAGGCTGCCAGAGCAAGCCGTTTACACCTCGTGCTTCGAAGCGCTACAGCTGCGATTATCTTGTAAGCTGATGCTGTCAGGTTCTCATAAACTCCACCAGATTAACCAGATGTCTTATCTGTTGTGTGCCGGCAGCAGAGGATTGTGCAAACAGGTGGCTCTTCAGAATGTAGCTGCAAAGCTCCTGAGCGTCGGTGAGCTGTAGCTCTACATTCTTGGGAGAGGCATAACATGATGCCAAAAGGCGTAAATGGCCGCAAACTGTGAGTTCAGCGATTCCTTCAGCTTCGCCACCTGCACATGAATATCGGAAGATTGCCCCTACGGCCTTTCAATGCCGACCTTCTTGGACACCATCTGCGACTTCCCAAAAGTGAAGATCTCTTCGCTCATCATATTTAAGATGCGGAGGTTGTTCTCACAAAGTAGCCTAAGTTAAGTCTCGCTCCAGAGTGCTAGGTGTTTCAGAAGCGTCTTGTCCAAGAAGCTGGTTCGTCTTGCAAGAACCACAGATATCTGGAATAAAGTTCTCCCAAGCATGCGGCCACTCCTGTCGAGCTATGTACGCACATCGCGCTGCTGCACCGGGGCTGCTTGCAAATCCTGCTTGACGATGTTCACCAGAGTCCTCTGCAGGCTCAAGCATGCCGATAGAAGAGGGCAAGCGCGCAACAAGCGAGTCAACGTACATCTGACAAGCAACTCATTCAGCTTCGTGAGGACGTGCTTCTGCGAGGTTGCAAAATGCTCGTCGGCTGAAATCTTGATCACAAGCTGCACCTAAAGAGCTGGCGATGGGACGGTTCCATATGGGTGCAGCTCAGGCTCCAGCCACATAGTTTTTGATTCCGGCTTTCCTGCAGTCAAAGCGCAGAGAGGCAAGGGGGCCCCCCCCCCCCCCCCCCAAGTGCAAAGGAGGCACTGTGGCTCAGTCAAGACCATCCAGCGCGTGGAGATGACGTTTTCGAGCACGTTCAATGCCTCAGCTTGATGGACAAAGGCTGGGAACGATCCAATGAAGGCCGGCATAAACAGGAATGCTGGACACACAATTCACCAAGCGGCAAAGAATTTGGTGTCTGGACCTGGTGCTGCTCAAAACGTCTCTCGCAACTCTCACTGCGAGCCCGCTACCAATCACTTTGCACGAGGGGTGGACTGTGTGAGGTAGCGAGGATGGTGTCTACGGCAAACCAGGAGTCTGGATGAGTTCGGACCCGTGTCAAGACCTGCAGGTCTAGGCGAAGGCACGACCCCTAAGGCCAAGAAGATGCCGCCAGCATCCTTCCTCGTGCGCAAGCTTTCGTTGTGATTGGTCGCCTCATGTGCAGCAGTTGCACTTTCAAACCATGGCAAGCCCACCAAGGACTTGGAGCAGGGCCGGCGTACATCAGTGTGACCTGGGTAATCATGTGTGTCACTAGGGCAATGTCGCTCTTCCCCTCCAACTGCTCAGCTCCTTTGAACGACGGAAAAACCCAAGATCCGCCCGGACTCCTGGCCGGTGCCTTCGTGTTGGTATGCCATGAGGCTCATTAAAAGTTAATGGGGGCAGCTGCTCTTGGAGAAGCCGCCCTCAGAGGCTCAGATCCGAGAGGTGTGTCTGAAACGTGCTCAGTGCAGTCTCAGGAACAGCTCGGGGAACTCTGTACACTAACCGGAGAAGATCATCCCATCGCGGTTCCGCGGTTGGGAGAGCTTCAAGGATATCTGGTGGACAGTCTCGCACTCAGCTCGCATCTCCTGAAACGCAGTTTCGGCCCGTTCTCTAATGGGGGGGGGTGTTCCGCACGTCCAATCCTCTCGCAGGTGCTCTGGCAGTGGAGTCCGCGGCTTCTGCTCGTAGGGTATCAGGGTGCGCTCCCCCAAGAAGCCCACCTGCAGTCTGAAGATCTCGAGTCCTACATGTTCGGCCGCCGCCCACCTTCTCCCAGGTCGATTCTTTGACGAAGAAATTGCCATAGGAGTTTCTGCCCCTCGTAGTGCTCATCTCCTACGCAAGACTTCTTCGAAGTGGTCACAGGCTGCAGGATCGACGGAAGCGTGACTTGGGACCTTGTCTGGCTCCAGTCTTGGCATGGATCTGTCCTGCACCACTTGGCATCAGCATTGCCACGTGAGGCGTGGGCTCCGTCTGCCTTTGTCAACTCGGGTTGGGACCGGACCCGCCGCCTCTTCATGCCTGCAGGCAGGCCCCAAGAGGAGAGTTTCGGAGCCGGAGCCGCCGGCCTCGAAGGACCTGTGTCCGCAAATGCCCGACCAAAGCCTGCCCAGACCAGTCTGTGCCCAGGGCCCATGTCCGTCCATCTCGCACCGCAAAACGCCGCCAATGGGGCCTCGTGGCTCAGGGCGGTCACGTCGGTGCCAGAGGCATCCCAGTCCTGCCGACGGAAGAAGCATGAGGCTGTGAGCTTCAAAGGCGCAAACGAACTTCCCTGCCTTCGGCTTTAAGGTCGCCATCGTCTTGGGCGTGCCAGCTCCGAGTCTGGAGTCTCTTCCGCCTGCAGTTTCTGCAGTTTGCGGCCGCCTCAGTTAAGTTAACAAGGCTGCGACTTTCTCAGCAGCGCAAACAAGTGCGGGCAAGCTGCAGCTGAGGAAGCTGTGCTTTGGTCAAGTCCGGCGTGTTGTCCAGGGTGTGGAGCAGGTTCTCAAAAGCCCAGGGGTAAGCGTATTTCAAGGACCTGCGGCGCGTCTAGGCCTGAGCATCTTCTGAGATTGCACTACGTGTCCCCCTGGCCTGTATTCTGGCCGCTTGGAGTGGGGCAGCAGGACAACCATCGCGACAGATGCTGGTCAGGGATCCCGGCTGATAGGTGAGCGGTTTTTGCTAAGTTCGGCGTCTGCACCGTGCCAGTGTTCTACACAGAAAGTACAATTGTTGTCGCATGAGAGACCACGAAACCCAAACGGCTTAAGCGGCGGTCGGCGTCTGAAACCATCCGGTGGTGCAACGAAGACTCGGCAGACAAGGTGCCATGTGGTCCAGCATCTGCACTTTGCCTCGGATGTGCGTGGCTCGTGGAGGCCGAAGGAAAGCTGCACCAAAGGGATGCGCGGCCACGTTGCTGGCATCCCATGGCTCGCTGAAGCTGAGAAGCTGTGCAGGATCCTGTCTCGTCTGCAATGAGCTGAGTGAAAGAGCCTGTGGGAACATCTGAGAAGAAAGCAAAAGGCAAGCCCGGATAGGCTGTCATGGCCTTAGTGGAGTGCACGCACTTGCTGCCTACATGCAGCTGCGCGCTCTCAGCTTCCAGCCCTTGCCAGCTGCCATTCGCTCACCTCAAGAAGTTGTCAAAGTTCTGCGAACTGCTGGCCAACCGCATGCTCCCTCTCTCGCGCCTGCTCACGTGCTCAGTGCAACAGCCCGCCATGCGCAGAAAGGAAAACAACAAAGGCTTCCAGGCCGTCTTGCTATATCCTATGAGGCTGGGTGCTGGGACGAATCCGCCGACTCCGCTCTCAGCTTTGCTGGGCTCAAGATTCTGGCTGAGGTTGCAATGCACGGCGCATGCTGCAGTATGCTCCCACAACTGCGTGCCATGAGTTGCTTGGTCTTCTACGCCGCACCCATAAGCTGCGGTCCTCGCAATCTCAGTGACATCATCGCGGTGCGAGATGTCAAACCGGACCCTATGCTCCGAGCACCTTTCGAAAACACATGTATATTATATATATATATATGTACACACATATACGAAGACAAACATACACACATACACACACATACCTACCTACCTACCTACCTACCTACCTACGTACGTACGTACGTGCGTACGTACGTACGTACATACATACATACATACATGCATACACACACATCACACACGTTACATACATATACATACATACATACAGACAGACGGACGGACGGACATATACATATACATATACATAT